ACCCGGGGCACTGGGACACGGACGCCGCCGACGCCGCCTTCGGCGCGGGCAGCGGGAGCCGCGCGCACCCCCGGGCGCTGGCGGCCGAGGAGATCCGGCAGATGCTGGAGGGCAAGCCGCTGGCCGACAAGATGCGTCCCGACACCCTGCAGGACTACATCGGGCAGAGCAGGGCCGTGGGGCAGGAGACGCTGCTGCGCTCGCTGCTGGAGACCAACGAGATCCCCTCGCTTATTCTGTGGGGGCCGCCCGGCTGCGGCAAGGTGAGTGCGGCCCCACCCGCCGGCCCCCAAAGCGTCCCTCGCCGCGCGGGCCGGGGCCGCCAGGGAGCCCGTGGTGGGCGTGGGAAGGGCACACCTGCAGGCCTTTCTCAGAAGATGACGTCCCTGCATTCCTAGGCTTTATCCGAAGAAGAGCGTGGACTCTTAGGTTCGGGCTGCCTTCGTGCCCCGCCCCACGTCGGGCTCCGGTTCTTAGCTGATTCTGAGTGTATCAGTGGTCAGGGAGCCGGATATAGCCCATCTGTACGTATATGGGTTCAGGGATGAGAAAAGTCATTCTTATTTCTGTGGTGCTTCCTTCCCCTCCCACTAACTGGCTTAAGGCTGATTTTCAGAATAAGAAAATGCTTCCTTCTGCAAGTCCTTTTCGTCAAGCTTTTCCGTAACTTTTCTCAGTTGCTTTGTTAAAGAGTAGCGGCAGCAATGCCAATACCTTCATCAGGGTCTAGCACAAGTGTACAGGGGGACTTAGGGTACTGTGGGTCTAGAGCGCGTATCATTGGAGGAACCCTTGAGAAGAAACGAGGAAGAGTTAGGCCTGGAAACCGAGGAGGCTCGGAGGTGCTTAGCAGTAGGGCGTTCCCCTGTTTGTAGCAAGAGGGACGAGAAAGAGCGCCCGTGAGTGAGGGAATTGGAGTCAGAGTATAAAGAGCTCTTTTAGCTTTGAGGTTCAGACTCTCATACACAGGGCCGTTCATAATTAATGATTTTTTACCGGCTTTGTCTCTCACAACTTAACCACAGTTCCCTTCCATTCCTGGAATGCATCTTGCTTGTTGTGCTTTCTCGTTTGTGATACTTTTTCCTTTCGCCAGGCATAAGTAAGATGTGTCCCAAGTGTTGCTCACAAGTGCGTTGGGGGTTGGACCAGGACACTCATCGTAGCTCCACGTCCAACCCCCAGATAACGGTTTATGACAGTGGTAGAACTGATGTCTGTCCTCGTGTGTTTAGTTGCTACCCCATTCAGGGGGTAGTTATGAAGTCTTTATGTAAAATCATGAGAATGATAATCAGCCGCTGATTTTCCCAGACTGCAAGACAAGGTTTGTAGGGGGATGAGTGGACGAGTCCTAGAAGACTTAGTGCAAGAGCTTTACTGGGCCGGTCTGCTCCGGGAGGTGGTGGGTGATCAGCTGCAGGCCTTGTGACATGGGAACCTGATTCCAAATAGCAAGCATGCTGGCATTTGATAAAGAAGCAGTGACAGTGCCTAATGGCGCTGTATAGCTTTTAAAATAAAGTGCTGTCTTTTCATTCAGGAGCAGATTTGCCTCTCAATAAAGAGTCTTCCCTTTTTCTTTATTCCTGTTTTTACTACTACAACTATAGCAGTAACCTTAGTAACAGCACATGCATGTCTACCAAACACTCATTAAATGCCAGGTACTGAGGAACAGTCCTTTCCTTGACCTCTCCTTTGTTTTCTGCTAAGGGCTAACAGGACTGAAGTGGAGTTGTGTCTCCTACCAGAGTGGACATTTTGAAGTGACAGGCAGTTGTCTCCAATACTAGGTAGCTGTCATTCATTCCTGTTCTTAGCTGTTCAACTGAGCTGCCTATTCCTGCTGTGGTTCCAAGGTCAGCTCTACACACTGGTCCTTCAACTGCAATGCTTTCTTGGCTGGAGAAAGGAGAATTTTCTTTTCTCCTCTCTGGGAGATCACAGCTGTCACCTAGACTGCTAAATCAAGACCGCTATTCTTCACTGGGATTCCAGATATCCTAAGATTCCCCAAGAAAGGAATTAAAAGGACTTATGGATAAAGGAGAAAAGTTCAGAATTAGCCTCAGAGTTAGCTTCTTTCCTTCATATATATGTACATACTGTGTTTCTCTTTTAACTCTTCGAAAATATGCTGTAGCATTTCAGATCCTATCCATACCTCAAAGCATCCTTCAGAATTCAGGTTGCTTGGAGAATAGTGCTGATGCTGTGCATAGTGCCTGCTCATGGGAAGCTTTCTGGTCAGCTTTTCAAAGTATGCATGTGCTTTCTTTTCCAGACTACCTTGGCTCACATCATAGCCAACAACAGCAAGAAGCATAGCATAAGGTTTGTGACACTGTCCGCAACAAATGCCAAGACAAATGATGTGCGAGATGTCATAAAACAAGCTCAAAATGAAAAGAGCTTTTTCAAAAGGAAAACCATCCTTTTTATTGATGAGATTCATCGGTTCAATAAATCTCAGCAGGTATATTAACTTCTTTTTTTTATCTTTTGGTCATTGTATATATCAAGATAAAAAGTTTCTGAGATCAGTTGGAAAAGCACTGCAAGTGCTAGGGACTGTTGTCATTATTAGCTTCGACCACAAAGCAGCACAAGGTTTTTTAGCCCATCTCCTTCCAGTCCCTTTCCCCCACACGTTTGTGTGTGTGTGTGTGTGTGTGTGTGTGTGTGTATGAGAGAGAGAGAGAGAGAGAAAGAGAGAGACAAGAAAATGCTCTCTGTAATAAATAAATGCTTGGAGTATCCCTGGTGTTTCCATATAAATGAGTAGCTTTGGATTAAGCTTCCAAGTTTTAGGAAATTTTTATCTAAAATATTCAGTCATTGTGAGTAATTAAACTTGATTTTAAGATCATTATTTTACCTTTTTAAATTTCTCCCATATATTCAAAATGAGGGTCTATTTTCTGTGCCTTTGGACTTGTGAAAGTAGATGATACAATTATCTAGTCAGTACTGCTTATTTTAGTGGCTTTTAGAAATAAACAGACCCTTAGCATTCTGCCCAAGGTTGGCATTGTAGACTTCACCTGGGACCATTGACTCACCTTAGTCTTTCCATAAGACAGCATCTGGTGACTTTGTAGTCACCAGGTTTGCAGCACAGGTAACAACATGACAGAGTATTTGCAATGGAAATATTGGAAGTATTGATGTTTTTGTGTTTTCTTCCACTTCTGTAAATAAAAAAGCTCATATGATATGTATAAGCCACGCGCTCGTTCAGCTTTGGGAAGAAGGTACTTTTCTAAGTAAAGGAGTCATTTGTATTAAAACTTAGAATTCTCCTGAGAGCAAGAGATCAGGCTGAGACTGAGACACAAGCACTATGTTTTAAATCTAAATAAATGTTTTAGATTGAAAAACCAAGAGCACTTCCCAATATTGTATTCATACTTAGTGAAGATACTCTATAGAGGTAAAGATAGGGAAAAATGAAGGAATGGATTGCCAACTTACATGGGGGGCTGCAGGTGGCTGTTGACTGGAATCTCTTTCTTCTGTTTTCCTCCCATGATTAGGACACTTTCCTTCCTCACGTGGAATGTGGGACGCTCACCCTGATTGGGGCCACCACTGAAAACCCTTCCTTCCAGGTCAATGCGGCTCTTTTAAGCCGCTGTCGGGTGATTGTGTTAGAGAAGCTTCCAGTCGAGGCGATGGTGACTATTCTAATGCGCGCAATCAACTCCCTAGGAATCCATGTCCTGGACTCCAGCCGTCCCACCGACCCTCTGAGCCACAGCAGCAACAGCAGCTCTGAGTAAGTTGACGGTCTGCAGAGTTCCAGGCAGTCCAGGGCAGGCATATCTCCCGGAGAACCTCCTGGCCGGGGGCCGGAAGGGGCTGGGCCTCAGCTGGAAGAAAGGCGGAGACCTGGCAGAAACAGTGATGTGCCTGTAATGAAAGAAAACTCTAAAGCAGAGGGAAGTGCTTAGTTACCTCTGCAAACATTTCTGTTAAGATGAGTTTTCTTGTTTCTAATGGGTGTAACCGTAATTCTTCAAGCGCTGATGTTGCTTTGTAGTTCAGCATCTTGGGTGTTTGCTTTTGTATGCAAGGTGCTTCTCCTAGCTCACTGTTTCAAAAGCTTAGAAGACTGTGGGAAACCTTACTGATTATTTTAAAGATTTATGTGTCTTCCGTTGGATAGAACAAATAGGTGTGTACTTCCTAGATTTAATAAGCCTTTGGAGATTTGTATAGATTTGGATTTCTTTTTTCCCTGTAGTTTATTATTCTTTCAAAAAACATTAAGAGAAATTTAATGTAACTGTAACCATTATTTAAACCTTGTCTCACACCCAAGAAGCCAGAGTCCACTGAAAGTAAAGGAATTTTTATTGAAATGGCATGTTAGGTTATCTCCTTCCTTTTGACAACCGGTTTCCTCCGCTTAAGTACCATGTGTACTCAAGTATCGATGCACAGATGTATATTTCATGGATAATCAGCTTAGTTTCTTGGGTCAGAGGTTTTCCTTTTTTATATTAGAGTGCATTCTTCCCAAGTCATTTGTTCATGTGTCGGCTGAAATAACACAGTGGAACATAATCTGGTTGGAGACAAGGCTGCTGCCCTCCTCCTTGTGCTGTGGACTACACAGCTGCTCACGCCTGCCCCGAGGCCAAGTTCTGGAGCCACTTTTCTGTGGGGATTAAAGTAGAAGGCATAGTTGTAGGCTCAAGGCTTAGGTTTCAGCAGTCTCTCTCTGTGTCTGGCCTCTCCCATTTGTTCCCACCCCACATGTAGGAAGAATGCTGCCATGTCTCACTAAAGCCTTGAAACATTTGGCAGTGGACCCCTGGGCAGAGGGAAATTGCTTCATCTTAGAACACAGTTGTGATGGGACGACCGTTAGAACTGTGGCTAGAAATGAAGTCTGGAACCTGCTGGTATCAGTCAGGCGTGCCTGTGCTCAGGAGACCCCACCAAGGTCTTGGAACTCCTGCTAGGGCGCTGCATCTAGTACAGTCAGCCCTCAGTATCTGCAAGGAATTGGCCCCAGGACCTCCTCATAATACCAGACACTAAATTGTGAGAGGTTGTAGTATTTACCTGTAACCTGTGTGCATCTGTGTGTATCTTTTAAGTCATCTTTAGATACTTAGTTTTTAATTGTTTTACAATGTTGTGGATGGAACTCGAGGCCTTTCTCATGATAGACAAGCACTGTACCACTGAGCTATGTCCACAGCCCTCTAGGATGTTTATAGTACCTACTGCGGTGTAAATAAGATTCTGTACGGGCCGTTTTCTGTTCTTTGAGGAATAATGACAAGTAGGAAAGGGTCTGCAATACAGATGCGTTGTTTTCACCCCAAGGTTGAATTCGAGGATTTGGAATCCATAAATACTGAGGCCTAACTATACTTTTTCTGTAGTAAGGTTTTCATCATAGGCTCGATTCAGCACATGGTAAAAACAAACTGAAAAAGAAGGAAACATTTTTCTGTTTTCTGTATGCTAGGTGTTTTTTTTTTTTTTGCTACTGGAAATCTAAATCAGGACCTGTGCTTGCCAGGCAGGCACTGTGGCACTGTGTGTACTAATTCTTAACAACCTACCTATAGCTTTATATCTTGCGTTTCATTTATCTGGGGTAATTTAAATTTTTTCTCATGTCATCATTTCATGGGATTGAGCTATTCAGATACCTTCAGGATTTTTCCCCCTCCTACTCACTGCTCTGAAATGAGAAAGTGGAATTGGAGCTGATCCTCCGGAAGGCATTTCTGCATTTTAGAGGATTTCCAGGTGATTAACAAGCACATGAAAGTCTGACAGGATCCAGTGAAAGTATGAAGATTTCATCTCCTTTAGTTACTGACACTGAGAGACAGATACGAAAAAGAGTCAGTGATTCTGAATCAGAGCTCCTGTATCTGTCTGTCTGTCTGTAGAGTTTCCCACAGTCTCTCATTTAGAATTGGTCCTAAATTTTCATTCTCCATTGCTTTCTTGTGTCCCCACCTTCCTGGGAAAGCTCTGAAAACAGGAACTTATCCTTGTTTATATCCCCGGTATCATGTCTAACATGTGCTCTGTGCTTGGTAAAAAGTGAATGAAGAAATCCAGCTTTCAATACAAGAAAAGCACCTGAGCTTTACCTTTCTTTCTTTTATTCTTTCTTTTTTTTTTTAGTGTAGCCCAACATAAGGGATAATTCCCCAGGTATCAAGAGCTTTTTTCTATAATACCATGGCCCCTTTCATCAGCAGCAAGCAGAACAAAAAGAAAGAACATTAAGCTTAAATGAATTAACTGGTCTGCTTCTTAGCAGCTGACAAGGAGATACATTGAGAGATGGCACAGGCCACAGAAAAACCGCTTACATTGTGAGTGAGTCCCCAGAAAGAAGTACCTGCCAACCCCCCAGCCATACATGCTTAGGAGGGGATTGTGTTGTCTTGTAGCTATGATGGGTGAAATTTTACTTTCAGATCCCTTTTGACTAGTATCACTGTGTGTTCATTCCTGTGCACATGGATCAGGTTGGTTACACTGGTCTAGCTGGGAGCAGAGAACCTTATCCCCAGCAGTTACTTTCTTTCTCAGGGAAGCTGTGAGTATACATTTGTATTCTTCTGTCATACTTTGGTGTCTTGGATGGCAAGTAGAACTTGTACAGAGAAATCAGAGGTTGTGGAAAACTACATAAAAGGAGGTGAGCGGGGTACTCTGAAACTATTCATGCAACCACTTATGCCATTCCTGTTTGTGCTTGAAGAATTATGAGTTCTCACAGTGTACACGTGTGCGCATGAATAATTCCCATTAAAGCTGGAAGAAAGTGTTTGGTTTGGTGCCGGGCATTGGACAGGACCTTGTATATGCTAAGCACACACTCTGCCTCTGAGCAACACCTTCAGCCTGAGCTTGCCTTCTTAAACATATGCCTCCTATGTTTGTTCAGTAGAAACTTAAGGTCCTTTGCATGCTAGGTGTTGGCTGAGTGTTGAAAAGTATAATCCTGTGACTGTAGAGGTTGTATAGTATATACAAGCCAGAGGAGCAGATCACCTTGTAGTGCTGTGCTATGTTGAACTTACACAGAGTGGGTTGGGTAGAGAGAAGAGGCATCTAGAAAAGCAAACATTTACCACCTGCGTGAGGGGTGCCAGGTTGAGTTCTGAAGGGTAAGTGGGTAGCTTACCTGTGCCATAATTCTTTGGTTTGGATGGCTAATGAACAGCTGCCAGGTGTTTTTCTCTCCGAAAACATTTCAGTCACACAATAGAGATAGTAAAGTATCCTGGCTGTGCTGGGTTAATTTGGGAAGTGAGGAAAAAAATCCAGTCTGTGGTATGATGAGCTTGTGCTGCTGAAAATGGGAAAGTGAAGCAGTGTTTAATCACCCTGCTGTGTGTGCTGCTCAGTGGGTTCTAGATCCCCAGGTCCCAGGGCACATGCGCATTCAGAAGCAGTTAGTTGTGGACCGAAGAGCATCTTTGGAGAAGATGGTGGTGTGAGCAGCGTAACTGCCTTCTAGCTGTCCAGCTGGGCGGGCTTCCAAGAGCGGGGTGGAAGTGCTGAGTGGTACCTGTCCCTTTGAAGGGTGCTGTGGCTTTGCTGTGATTTGGGGCTTTTCCCTAATCACTTGGAGAATGGAGGCCCAGACAAGATGGCCCCAAAACAGAATACCTAAAGATATTTTTCTTTTTTTTTAAGGGTTTAAGTTGTTGGCTTGTCTCCAGATAACATTTTCTACCACTACATACAAAGATAGTAGAACATGAGGATTAATGGTACTGACCAGAGTGAATTTTGGGCATAGAGTGGATTTTAATTATTTTTTCTTACACCTTTTTTTACTATAAGGTAAAAAGGTATATAAGTATAGTAGAGCAGTGCCTGTAATCCCAGCACCCAGGAGGCCGAGACGGGATTGCAAGTTCAAGGCCAGCCTGGAACTATATAGTAGACCGCATGTCAAAGAAATAACATAAGTACATTAAGATAGCTGTATTAATATAAAGAAAAAAGTTAATGTACATGAGCTAATCTGAGTATAAAGAAAAGAAAGAAATGTTAAAATGATGCCATAACAACATCACAAACCAGAAACAGCTCTCGTGGACATTGTGTTGGTTCCCCCTGACTGCTGTAACAAATTATGGCAAACCTGGTAACTTAAAAGAATAAGTTTGTTTTCATAACTGCAGTCAGAACCAAGGGTCACCAACCATAGGCCTGCAGAGGCTGCAGAAGGAAGTGCTTCCTCCCAGCACCTTGTGGCTGCCGGCACTCCTTAGCTTGCAGCTGCACCGCCCCATGTTCATAGGACCTCTGTGTCTTCTCTTTCGGTCCTCTAAAAGGACATTTATTACTGGATTTAGGATGATCCTAAATCTAGGATGGTCTGATTGTGAGATCCTAGTTACCTCGCCAAAGACCCTATGGCCACAGGTCCCAGGGATTAGTACTCACATCTTTTGGGGTCACTGTTCCACCCACCGCAGATCCCTCCCAGGTATACGGGGTAGTATAATTTGGAAAGACATGGTTCTGTGAGATTTAACAAAGGAGGATGATATCTGTGAACTCCATGTCCTTCCTTTGTGGAGAAAATAAGTTTTTTGTTTCTCCTTTCACTCTGGTTACCATGGAAACATCAGGACGTGGGGCTCTCAAAGATTTGCAGTTCTACAGAGTATTTTATTGAATTAATTCAAATAGTTCTCTTCGCCAGTTATGTGAGTGTTTGTGTTATGACAAGCACTGCCCAAGTATTCTACCTGCTTTGTCTGCTCCTCAGTCCAGCTTTGGTTTCTTTATTAGATGAGCAAACTGAGGCACCACAAGATGAAGTAAGGTACCCCCGTCACCCAGCGTAAGCATAGTAGTACCAGCTGTACAGGCATGTTGTTAACCGCCAGGTGACCTCAGTTGCTCGAAGGGCCTAGGCACCACCGTGAAAGGAGGTGAGATGCTCTCTAACCTTTCTCCATACACTTCTCAATGGGAGGAATCTTGGTTTGTGAAGGATCAGGAGCAGAAGGTCCCTTCTGCAGTGCAGCAGGAGGGCGTCTTAGCCAGATCTGCGCGGCGCTGCCCAGGATGCGGTGTGCCCAGGGTCTATCTGTCCCTGGAGATTTGGCAGTCAGTAAATTTGTGGTATATAATCACGTCTGTACTTGAGGAAGGTTCTCTACCCTGATACACATCCCTGGTTGAGAACCACTGTCAGCAGTTGTCAGCCTGTCCGTGTAATGTTCCTTTTCCTTGGGGAAGAAGACTCGGAATTTGGTTTGTAATTTAGCAACAGAGAGTTTAACCATGCCATATACTGTAGATGCTTTTGTTCTGCCATGAACTGACAGGTACATACGTTTTCACTCCTCCTCCACCTTTAATATCTAGCTGTCTAATTAGCATCCTCCAAATCCCAGTGTTATCCACCAGGAAAAAGCAGTGTGCGGAAGGATTTAAGGTCCCAGCAGAGAAAGGAAGGAGGGAGCTTTCTGTATTCCTCTTCAGGATCAGCGCTTCCTCCCCAGAGGAGGAACTAGGCTCTCTAGATCTGTTTCTTCTGGGTCCTGTTAGCCAGGAATCCGGTCTTGTCCAGTGTGTTTGTGTGAACCAGTTTTGCCCCTTATTATGGAATAGTTGTTTATTGCACTATAGTAACATAATTTACTATTTCTTGTTTATTACTTGCAGGATACTATGAGATTTTTGGCCATCTGTCGCAAAAGTAAATTTCATCTCATTTAATTCTGTTTTACCTTTGGAAGGTAGTGCAGACATTTTGTATGTCTGCACTATGTATTTTGTATAAACTTATGCTTAAGTTTTAAAGTGTTAAATTCTCTAGAACACTACTTTTTCAAGGATTTCTATGTAATGGTTACTGTTTGCTGAAGGGTTTTATGAGTATCGGTACAAATATTCCTTCCTCTGTTCTTGGCACGAATTCTTTGATCTGTTTCCTTCCTGAGATCTCAGACTGTCTTAGTGCATTATATTAATCTTCAGAACTCAGGTGAGCAGATGCAGGACATGTTAGGTGTAAGCAGAACCTGTAGAGTTTCCTGCACAGTGTTCCAAACTATGAGTTTCTGTTTTATGACGTCCTTCTGTGACCATGTTTCACCAGCAGCCCTGTTTTATTACTTGGACAGAGTTTCTGCCAGCTCCATTTGGGTTTAAAAATACCCTGTCCTTGTGGCCGGGTGTGAAGTTTGGAATGTGGATCGTACCCAGAGGGATGAGGCTCACACTGAGTGGGACGCTGGTGGCTTTTGTGTGGCACCAACACTCGTTGCTCAGGACACCAAACCAGAGCAACAGAATGCCTTAGACTTTGGTTCGGTTTAAAAGTCCAAGGAAGGGCCCTATTTCATAACTACGTGCACTACAGAGCACTTTCAAAGCATTATTTACAGTACAGTGTTTATAAATGCAAGGAATAATAAAGGAAAATTCATGGGAAAAGGATATATATCAAAACACTCATTCTAAGTTAGTCCAGGGATATGTACTAAAATACTAATTTTAAGTTAGCCAAATAGTAGGTGATACTTCTCCTTTTGTGTGTTTTTAAATTTTAACATACATTTATTTTAGAAGTAATGTTCAAAGTCTGAGTAGTTTGTTTTTCCAGCCATTATTAAGATTGTGAAACAGTATGATCTTGAATTTGTTTAAAACATTGGGCTCAAGGTTAATGGCCATGTGGCTGGTCGAATCACAAGGGAAATCCAGCAGATGACGTGGCAGCTGTTATCTCTGGGTGGTGGAGACAGGGATTTTGTTTGCTGTACTCACGATTGTTTAAAAACTGATGTTTCATGCTGAGGTGGTGAGGAAGCGAAGTTAGTCTGTCCATGGTGCAGCTACGAGTACCCGTTACCTACCGGGCACTGGCGTCACGGAGGAAGAATGCAACCTGCGTCCTACTGTTCCGGTGCTCACATCTGGCAGGGGTGGAGAGATGATGGCAGTGGTGAACAGCGTAACTCACGGTTCTGGCACGCACAGCTCTGCTAGTCAGTACTGAGGGGTCTCCTGCTTTTACCCCTTTGCTCCCCTCAGTAGTCCTCCAGGGTTTTTGTTGCTAGGAAGATTTTCCAGGGAAGTGGAAGGCATTGCTTTTATTACTTCCGAGGTGGACGGGAAGTGCTGAAGCAGCTTTGGCTCTCTCTTCCTCCCCACCCACACATGGATAAATGTGCCCTTCCCTGTCAGCCACGTTGTGGGCTTACATGTCCCCTCAAATGTTGGTCTCCTTTTTACATTGTCTGTAGTCATCAGGAGTTTGCGGAGAGTGGTTTGTTAGAAAGCCAGTGGAGCCAGGTGACCCACGTGGGGTGAGGCCCATAGTGAATAACGGGAAATCCCAGCCTCGGTGGTAAATGAGGGAATGAGGTGAAGCAGCCTTCAAGACATAAGAAACAAATCTTTGAGTGAGTAAAATGTAGATTGGCATTATTGAGGTGGTCCTAGCTGACCCTAGGTCAGTGTACAGTAAGGCATTCTGGGTCAACCCCACAGACTCGCCGACCCCCTCAGAGCTCCCCAGCCAGCCTGCCTGGTGCTTGTGTGTTCCTGATGTGAACACAGCTGATGTGAACAGTAGCTGAGGTGAACAGTCCTAACAGGTTCAGTTGAAGAATAGTAATGACGTGGGTGAACTATGAATTATTTTTCGCTTCACAAATGTAACCAGCAGCTTAGCCAGAAAATCGTAAGACCCTGCTAAGTAATGCCTTAGCTAGTTTGTCTGACTAAACTGGGAAGGGAAAATTTTGCTTAGTCGGACTTGAAAAATAATCAGCTCAACATTCTTTATGAAGGTCCAGACTGAGAAGTCGGATCTTAAATTTTAATCTTGACCTTTGGTGAGAAGTTAGGTGATTTAGCCAGTGTGGCCCCCATCAAGCCCTGGCATCTTCCAGTCTGTGCCCAGGCTAGTGACCCTGCTACCCTGTGTAGGTTCACGTGCTCAACACCCTCGGTGAAGCCCAGACCTAGAGCTAGTGACCTGGTGCTAGTTTCCACTGTTCCCTAAAAACAGAACCTTGTTTGTGGTTTGCGAAAGGGGAGGATTGACCAGTCTTGATGTGGAGACTTTCAGAGCTAATACCCTGGCGCAGTGGTGCCTCTTCCCCATGAGGAAGATGGTCTGAGCGTTCTGTGTCACCTGGACGTGGCAGCCTTTGCAGCATGTCTTCCACCTGCTGCAGTGAGGTGCGGTAGAGCACAATTGTCAGCAGTGACGTTCCGGGACATCTGGTGTCTGCTTCACACGCTCCCGAGCTGGTGTGATACCCCATGACCTCCAAGGTCTGTTCTTACTCTCCAAGATGCTTGATTAGCTACATTACCAGTATGAGTTCAGCATAAGGGGCAAATGCTGTGAACTAAGGTTGCTTTCCAGTGACTTCACTGAGAAGTCTAAGCTCACCAAGCTGTGCTGCAGAATGGACTGAGCCTGGGTATGAATTCGCTCACTCTGGTTGTGTTGCAGGCCCTCGGTGTTCATAGAGGACAAAGCGGTAGACACTCTGGCTTACCTCAGTGATGGAGATGCCCGCACTGGCTTGAATGGACTGCAGCTGGCGGTGCTGGCCAGGTTAAGCTCCAGGAAGATGTTCTGTAAGAAGAGTGGGCAGACGTACTCCCCAAGCAGAGTTCTGATTACTGAGAATGACGTGAAGGAAGGGCTGCAGCGATCCCACATCTTATATGACCGGGCCGGTGAGTACCTGAAATGTTGGGTCATGCCGGGGGAGAGAAGTGCGGCTCGCACACTCATTTCCGGGTGGCTCACACACTCCTTCCCAGCTGGTTCGGAGCGCACTCCCGAGTCTCAGGCGTACCTGCACACTGGTGAGTGCAGGTCCAGCCCCACAGGGCCAGTCTTTCTGAAGAAGGGCAGCTGGCGGAAGCTGCTCTGGTAAGAAGTGGGGGGATATGGTGTTTGAAGTCACAGGCTTCAGCTTTGTCTCACAGTGTCATTAGCTTTTCCCATTACTGGTTGGTAGCACCCTGTGAATACAAGCACTTTAAAAACATGTGCAGTCAGTTGACAGTGGGTAATTCTTGTGATCATTAGCCAAGCAGTAACAAGAGGACTTTTGCAGTAAATGACTGACTAGCTTGCATGAGTGTTAAAGTCCTTAGTTTCTAGAGTTTAAAATTTAATGTATGTGGATCTTGCTGCTTTTGTGTAGCTTTTTTGAAAATTTAGTTACTCGGTGTTCACAAGGCTACGTAGCATGGTGTTCACAGATAAGAGACGGCCAGCACTGGCTAGATCATGATCTGGCCATACTAAGCATCATGAGCACAGGGCATTCGCATCTTTTTCCGAAGAGGCAGCAGGTGAAGATAGATTACTGGAGATTAGGCTGGACTCTGCTGCTGGAGCACTTACATGGCTCTGAATGCATCATAGTGCAGCAAGTGGGAAAGAATTTCCATACCTTCCGAAGCTTCTGCTAGAAAAGGAGCTGGTAATTGAGCTTCTTGGGTATCATGTCCACTCTGCCATTCTCTGACATCCTTGGTAACAAGAGCCCTCCTTACTGGTGGAGAAGGGGGTAAGCACTTGGGTCCCAGGCACTGCCCCTTCTTGGGTGCACGCGCTCACCACACCTCGGGAAGTGGCCAGAGCTCATGGACCTTGGTGCCCTCCCCCAGCTGGGCGTTCATGGGGCTCAGGACCCAGGACAGGTGGCATGTGGTCTTGGCTGCACTCCGACACTGTCCTTCTCGGCCGGGCCCTCTGACGTGGCCTGCTCGCCCTGTGTGCTTGACTGTCACGTGAAGGCTTGAAAAGTCTGAAAAGGGAGACATGTAAACGTAGAGTCCTGTTTTTCTCCTGGCCGAATACAAAAGCTGGAGCTCAGAACACGGTGAGCCGTCTGAGAGGTGCAGAACCGCCACGTGCTGGCCTCCTCATGTCTGGGTTTCAGCAGTGGTCAGCTTTCTGCCTCCTCGCCAGTATTCCGAAGGAGGCTGCTTGTGACTGGACTGTTCTTTTATACTCTATCAGGCTGTCATCTAAATCTATGCAGCATGGCATTTGCTGACAATCTTTTTTTACAGACTTTCAAAAACTCTCAAAATTACCTTAGCAGGTAGCTTAGTAATATCATCCTGAGTTTACAAATAACAGATCTTGCCTCAGTTCACAAAGCACATGGTAAAATCATGCTCAGAGAGGTCTTCTTCCCTGCTTTCTGTGTACCTCCATGCCAGCACCACCAGAGTCCCCCAAGCTTGCCCTGGACATGTCCCTGAAAGTTACATCTTGGAAGTGGCTGGCCCTGGAGAGCCAGGCCTGGTGGCAGTCACTGTGTCCCTATTGCCCACCCTGGGGCAGCTGGGAGACAGCAGAGACCTTGAGAACCCCACTCAGTATACCCCTCTAATACCAGTGTGCCCCACTCCCCTGACAACACAACAGCCTGCCTGCCCCCAGGAGGTCCACAGATGGCATAAATATCTTTTGCATCCTCGAGAAATGTTCTTTTCAGGCTGTTCCTTAAATAGACATAGAAGCATTGCCCTGGAAACCTGTTAGCTTAGACTCTTCGGCCTTTGTGTAGCTCTGGTGAGACAGACATCCCCATCCCCAGAGTTTTTATTGTAACTTTCAGTGTCATCTCGTGCATAGTTACCCACTAGTAGAACCCAGTAACCATTTGGATGTTTCTGCATCAGAGTGAAGAACTTTCCCAGTGCTGACAAACTCTGTCATGCATTGACATCTGGGTTCTGTAGGAATGGGAAACGCCGGTTATAAAGCAATGTGTAAGAAAAGCGCAAATGGAAGATAGCATAGAATAATAAGAGAGAGTGGCATAGCACAGTGTTTCCATAGGGCTTGTTCTGGGCCAGCCGTGTCTTCATTAACGTAGCCCGAGGAGGAAGGCGGCAGTGGGGTCCCCATTTTACAAGTGAGAGCCCTGAGGAATAGGGAAGGTGAGGAACTTGCCTATGGCCGTGTGTGAGTTCAGGTTGTGTAGCCCCAGAGCCTGTGCTGTGACCCAGGTACCGGTGAGGTTGCCTCTTCTGTTGGCCCGGGAAAGCTGGGAGATGTGGAACCTGTGTTGAGGGCTTGTAACTTTGATAGAAATCGGACCACACATGGTTTCTTCCATCTCTCTGTTCCCACGCATTTGGCCTGCACTGCACACCCCAAGCCCTGCCATGCAGAGGAGCAGAGCACAGGGCGTCCAGGCAGGGGTATGGGAGAGGGGCCAGAATCCTGCAGATCACCAGAAAGGATGCCTCCCAGTCAGTGTACAGCTGCTGGCCGCACTCCATGAGCCCAAACACTGCTCAGTTTGATACCACCAGTCTGGCCTGGGTCTCCTTGGAAATCAGACCTTGCACAGGCCCTGCTGCCAGCGTTTGGGGTCCTTCCCCTTCACTAGGCCCGCACCTTGCCACTTGCTCCCTTCTCCATCTGAAAGCCAAGTGGCGTCTATCACGTTCAGCTGCTGGATTTGGTCCTGGGGCCAAGTGCTGCCCGGCAGAGCTCAGTCTTACGGTGGACCTGGCTCAAGATGAGCCCTGAGCTTTGGAAGGACTCACAGGCGCAGCCCCTCTGCTTCCTCAGGAGGTGTCCTGTCCTTGTGCTGAAGACAGAAAGGATGGTCAGAAGGTTGTGCAAAGTGTGCAGTGCCACTGCTGTTTCCTGAAAATGATTTATAATTCCTGCCCTTAAATGTGTCTTTTCCATTTTACTGACTCGCTTCCCTGTGAATCCAGAGTAAAAGGGAGATAAAACCAAATGGTATGTACTTTCAGGATGAGCTGTTAGTCTGTGCTCCAGTCCCCTGGGGTCCTGCCACGCAGACATCCCCACGCTGAGGCTTGGGTTTAAATGACCGCAGGCTTCAGATATCAGGAAAGCAGCTGGAAATACACTGAGGAACAGATAGGCTGTAACAGCTGCCCTTGCCACCTGACTCTCCATCCTGGCGCTCCGACCAGGCCCACGCTCAGTTCCCTCCAGCAGACAAACCCGGAGTGTGAGATGCCCCTCCCATTCTGCCGGGCATGTGCCTTGTGGCAGAGGACAGTCCACGTTCCAGGGTGCAGCCCTTCCATGCCCTCCAACCTGCGCAGCAGCTGCTTCCTCTGGACAGGGATGGGGTGCTACTGGCACCCCAGTCCCAAGGAGAACCCTGCAGCATGATCAAAAGATACAGTGAACGGCAAATTGTTAAATTGCTGTTGCAGTGAAAAATACACTGCCATTAATCCTGCTCAAAATCCTTCCTCTCTCTTCAAACACACTTATTCCATTCCCTCTTGCCACTTTCTGAAGCAGCTCTGGAAGTCCTCTTTCCTGAGTGTCTTGTTTGCACTGTCGTGGCTGCCTCAGTGTCCTGAATCCATTCAAAGCATTTTCCTTTGCCTTCATTTGGACTTTGGGAAAGAGCCAGAAGTTGCATAGTACCAGATCCGGTGATAAGGTGGATGAGGCATGCCATCATGTTTTCACAAGCCTGCCTTTCCGTGGGATGGCGCTGGGCGGCAGCCTTTACTGTAGTTCTGATCCCTTTGTAAAGATGCTCAGCAAAGAGGACTCCCAGAACTGCTTCGAAAGTGGCAAGAACGACGGGAGCAGTGCGATTGAGGTGAGGGGGAGGACTTTGGGGGGTTCATGACAATGTGTCTTTCACTGGAATAATTTTTTTAAGTTGTAAACATCAGCCACTGTATTTTTCGGTTGTTCCTTGTGCACTGAGGCAGTTCCAGAGGTTGCACCTCCCAGCGGGTGCAGTGTGCAGGCAGCTGTCAGACCCCAGCGTCCTCAGCTGTCCTGGGCCCTCTGGGCGTGGGCGTGTGAGGGGTATGTGGAGCCTGCTGGGGCACTGAGTGGTGGCGCTGTCCGTGCACAGGGGAAGAGCACTACAACTGCATCTCCGCCCTGCACAAGGCCATGCGCGGCTCCGACCAGAACGCCTCGCTCTACTGGCTGGCGCGCATGCTCGAGGGAGGCGAGGACCCGCTGTACGTGGCCAGGAGGCTGGTGAGGTTTGCCAGCGAGGACATCGGTGAGTGGTGGTGGTAGGGTGGAGGGAGGAGCGTGGCCACTGAGTGTCTTAGGACTGTGTGGGGCTTGGAGAGGAGGCTTGCTGCTGGAGCTCAGTTGTCTGTTCTTGTGTATGTGCTCTTGAGTGTGCTGTTTTCATAAAGTCTCCATTTTCTGTCTTCTGTTCAGGAATGTTCTTGGGACACAAGTGGCTGTTCAGTCTTGAAATAAAAGAGACATTTTCCGTTTGCTTTGTAGCCAGGTATGGAGACCTCAGCCGGCTCCTGGGGCAGAAGCAGAAGTAAAGACAAAGCTCCAAAGCACTTTGCTTTTCTTTGCTCTTTGTAAATGGTTTGTTTTTAATGTGCCCATCCTTGTGAATGTTTTTGTGCCCTTGTTCCTGTTTGTTTACATAGTCTCTCTCATTTTTCCTGCTAAAGTTTCTGTCCTCGAGGAAGCAGTTCTCAGCCCCTACAGCAGTCACCCTGTAACTATTTCTTAAATAAGTTCGTGTAATCAAAGATATCGATCTGTTTTGCTAAATGGAACTATTTCAGTCACCACATCCACAAGCAGCGATGGTGTCTGGTTGCAGCAATTCGTGGACAGGTGGGAGCAGTGGTGTGTGTTATGGCTTAAACTTCTCTGTCTCTGTGTGTGACAGGCCTGGCAGACCCGTCTGCATTGACACAAGCAGTTGCTGCCTACCAAGGCTGCCACTTTATAGGCATGCCAGAGTGCGAGGTAAGTGATCCGCTCCGGCCTTTGCAAACCTGGTCTTTATCGTGTGTCCCGTCCCGTTGTGGGTGTGAGTGTATGTCCCGCTGTCGCTGTTGTATCGGCCCACTGAAGGAGCTGGCCAGCTTTTGCACAGCGATCTTGTAGCATTTGAGCTCCTCGAGAGATGAGACCCTGGTGCCAACAAGGTCATATTTCCAGCTGTCTGCAGGAGGCCTGGGTTCAGAGCGAGTACTCCAGGATTTCCAGGGGCCAGAAGGGCTAAAGGAGCTGAATAGCAAGCTTCTGTAGTTCACCCCCAAGCACAGCAGCTTCCCACTCATCTTATTTATTGAGGGGTTTACGCACATTTTTGTTTAGTAAAATGACCTTCAGTTTGTTTGTTTGTTTGTTTGTTTTGGTTTTTCTCCGGTACCGGGAAAAACTCATGACCTTGCACTTGCCAGGCAGGCGCTTTGCCGTTGAGCTAAATCCCCAGCCCCTGACCTTCAGTTTGAAGAAATGCAAACCACTGGTCTTGCTTATCTCTCACGTGTAGGAATTTCCATTCTTTGCGATACCTGGTTACCTAGCCTAGGCAAAAAAGGCAGAGGAATCCTACTGGGAACCTTAAATTAACTAGAGGTGTCAAAGTAGAGCAGGAGATAGACACCTCTGCACCCTCCCACATGTCACATGTGTCCTTCTGTTGCCCAGGTGCTCCTGGCCCAGTGTGTGGTCTACTTCGCCAGAGCCCCAAAGTCCATCGAGGTGTACAGCGCTTACAACAACGTCAAAGCCTGCTTGCGGAACCACCAGGGCCCGCTGCCCCCGGTGCCCCTGCACCTGAGGAACGCACCCACCCGGCTCATGAAGGACCTGGGCTACGGCAAGGGCTACAAGTACAACCCTATGTACAGCGAGCCGGTGGAGCAGGAGTACCTGCCCGAGGAGCTGAGGGGCGTCGACTTCTTCAAGCAGAGGCGGTGCTGACTTGGGGCTGTGCCCACTGAAAGGTGCTGCTTCTGAGCGGGGGCCGGAGGGTGAGCCGCTGTGGTGCCCGCGGCTGCCTGCTGCAGGTTAAGACAGACCAGCACTCCGTGCCGGAAGTCTAAGTGTCCCATGGGTGGAGGCGGATCCTTCAACTAAACGTGTCACATTGAAATTGTGTTCATTTGCACCTCGTGCAATGGTTATGCTTATGAAATATCTGGCAGCTTTGTGCAATGATTAATGTTATAAGGAATTATCTATTTTGTCATAGTATTTAAGTCATAATGTCATTTCAGAATTCAGTTAAGTAGGATTTTTTTTCTTTAAAAAAATGTATATTCTGGGTAGTTTCAATTGGTAAAAAAATGTAATTGTGATTTAATACTGCATAGTGTTTTGGGTATTTTTTTTATATGCAAAGGTCTTATGAGCCAATAAAACTATTTCAAAGTACTCATCAATTCTTTAATGTTTTTCCTGCGTGGGAGGGGAACCAACACCTGTCACCACTGCGGTTCCGTGCTAGAACCTGAAAGAGAGAGCCTCCTCAGAGAGGAGACCAGGCGTCTTCGTCCCTGGGCTATTCTTCCCTGTTTCTGCTGGGTCCTGCTTGCAACCCTGTATCTCTAAATAGAAATTCTTGCTTTGTTTCCTGAAGTTACGTATGTCACTGTCCCTCAGCTTCCTGTTCACTGGACCCACTGCTAATTTTCATCAGCCTCCTTCATCACCGTGCTGTGCACATTTCCCTCCAGTTGGTCACACCACACCCGCCCTGGTCCCCGAGCCCCTGCCTCATCCAGAACAGCGCCAGTGTGGGCCTGAGACGTCTGCCTTTTCCTGTGCAAGAACTTCTGCTTCCTGGCTGCGCTGCCTGCTGCTTGGTTGATTTTGGTGCAAGATGCCTAGTTTCACCAGCCTTCAGAGAGCATGATGGGGGGCTCTGTGACCTACGACACAAGCTGGCTGTGCGGTAGTACCCAGTTGTCATCCCAAGAGCTGCCTTTGTTGCACGGATTTCGGCCGCCATCTTACTCTCAGACTGCAGGGCCCGGTGCTCTGGCTTGCTTGCCTGGTGCACACATCCTTTAGTAGCTTCATGGAGCCAGGTGTACCTGCAGAGAGACTGAACATGCTTTCATTCTTCCTTCATGCTTGTCTGACCCATGGGGGATAAACTCTAGGTCAGAGAATACTTGTTCCCTGGTTGGGTGGTTGGTGGGGCCCAGGCGACGAGGGGCCTTTTTGGTCCTGAAAGGGCTCCCGCATTAGGTTTTCCAGTAAGGGAGTGTCGTGGTGAGACTTAAAGTTCATAAGGATCACTTTCTTGCCACGTTGAAGTGAGAAGATAGGGAGGGTTTGGTGGAAGAATGGAAATCGGAATCACCAGTGTCGCAAGGGAGGGGACAGCAGCTCAGATCAGACTGGGTGGTGGTAGTGGAGCAGTGTGGGATGGGTGATGGGTTGTGTACAGTGCATATATGTGAAACAAGTTAGGGACAGCTGTCATTTATTGAGAACAGTGAATGCCAGCTTGGTCCTAAGCACTTGGCAAGGGCTGGTTATTTGAATCCTCAGTAACTTAGTAAGCTACGTACCTTTATTGTCAAGATAACGAGATGGAACACAGAAAGTTGTAGTACCTTCTTGAAGCCCCCGGCTGTTGGGGGAGGCAGGGTCTAGACCGAGGCATCAGACGCAGAGCCGCAGTGTCAGTGCCACTTACCTGGCGCCTCCATTCCCTCTACCCCTTTCTGGGTCTCCTGGTAGAGTGCTGGCTGTGGACACGGGGCCTCGTTAGCCACCCGCAGTTGTGCTGCTGCTTGCCCTCTGTGCTGTAGTTTCTGGAGACGTCCTCAACCTTGTGTTTCACGCCTTCACTGCCATCCTCCTGTTCCAAGGTTCCAAGAGCTTGCTTACGCCTAACGTTTCTTTTCGCCTGCACTTGTTTTTCTTCTGTGGTGTCCTGTATCTGTTTACTTGTTTGGTGAGTGCTTATCTCCCTGAGGATATTAATTTTGTAAAAACTTTCTCCCGTATCTCTTTTCTTTTCCCTGTTTGGGCCCTGTGTTTTGTATCTGCTGTGCGTCCTGTCCAGGTGTGAAGACCTGAGAAGCAGGTTAGGAGGTCTGCGCATGTGTGGAGGGGTGGCGCTTTGAGCCTTGCCGAGCCATTTGCTGGGAACCGTGGAAGTCAATCCTGAGGACTTCCCAAGCTCTTGCCCAGGTTAGAGCCCCAGAGAAACAACGGCTGCGGAGTAGGTCAAGAAAAAATTTTGTTTCTTCTAAGATAAGACCTCTCTTCCTGAGAGTGACCATCCGAAAGTTGCTTGTTAGCCAGCTTCCTCCCTGGTGCAGTGACCACCCTCAGGCCAAGACAGAGCTGCAGTCATTGTCATTAACCTGGTATATTGAGAACTAGCTTTAAAATAAGGCTTATTTGATCACAAAGCAATATGTGACTATTGCAAAATGGTGCAGAAAGGGATTCAAAAAAGGAAAAAAAGTAGTGTCCATATAGAGAAAATGAAAACTTTACTACTTCCTTGTAGTAATAACCACTATAAACAGCATGTGTCCTTTGGGTATTTATCCAGTGTGTGTGTGTGTGTGTGTGTGTGTGTGTGCGCGCGCACGCACGAAAGTGAAAATTAGAGATCTGCATTTGTTTCACAGCTTGCTTTTTCTCAGGTGGTCACATGATTTTCCACACCCTGAATTCATCCCTTCCTGTGTGACTTTCAGTGGCTGCCTGTGGAGCCACCAGGGGGCAGCACAGTTCATACTTTGCGCAGGCCAGGATGTGACAGGCTGGAACTCTGGATTTAGAGGAGTGAGGAGTTCGCAGCCGCTCTTACTGCCCTTCGGCCCCCACCCCCAGCCGTTTGGCCAGCTGTGCCTGGGGAGGAGCCTGGGCCCAGGAGTGGGACATCTTGGGTCTGAATCCTATCTGGGCCATTTCTCCACTCTGTAACCTTCGTTAAGGTTACCGTCTTTGCTTCTCACCTTTCTCATCTGTAGAATGGGAATCAAAATATGTCTTAATGGCGATGGGAATTACATGGTTGGAAATAAGGTATTGCTCAGAATAATGCTTGGCACATAGTCAGGGCTTACCAAGAGCTACTGCCATGACCTGGTTTTCTGACCTCAGCTCAAACCTCACTTTCCCAGGGAAGCCTTCTCTGACGCTTCAGGCTGTCAGATCCTCCCCACCCCAGCCATGGGCGCAGCCCAGGATATGCTCAGCAGCTCCGGAGATTTCTGCTCCTCCCTCTGTGCGGCCTGATAATACCCACAGCCTCCATGCGATGGGCTGGACGTTGCTCACCCTGCACTTCCTCTGAAAGCCAGCCTACACCCTCTTTTATTTCCTTCTCTGAGCAGCCAGGCTGAACTGGGGACCTTTCCTGGGACAGCAGAGGGCCTCGTCTTCCAAGGACACTTACTTTTGGCTTCCATTAATAATTGCAAACCTGAACTGCTGCCTGCTGTGTTCTGGGCACCATTCAAAATGTTTCCCATGTATGATCATAATTTCCAGACCGACTACAGAAGCTAGTACTGCTATCTTCTGTCTAAAGAGGACCTTGGGACTTGGGTTAGTCAGCTGACTTCCGGAGATCACAGAGCTAGGACTGAAACCCACAGAGCCCCATCTGCCCAGCTCTTTTGCCAGGGCTCCTCAGGCTGGTGTGCACTGGCCTCACTAGAGGGCTTGGTAAGAATCCCAGAATTTCTCATTCTTCCCAGTTTCCAGTCAGTTCTCAGACGAGGTTGGTGCTGCTGGTCCACACAAATCACTCTGAGAACCACTGCACCACACTGCATAACTTGCCATCAACACCCTAGAATACATTTTCAAGGACAAGCGGTGTTTGCAGACCCAGGGTGAAATTGCAAAAGTATCTAGCGCAGCTCCCCCAGCCGCCCCAGTATATCTGCCATTTCTGTTTTCTTCCTAGCTCCAGACACATCTGGTGGCTCACGAAGGCTTGGGGCTGGTCCAGAGCACCACAACCTGAGCCTCCCTCCCTCCACCTCCTTCATCCCTCTGTTCCTTCTAAGGGCAGCTGCTGGAGTAACCCCGACGTTAAGTCACCCACACCCAAACGGCTGCCTGGGTGTGGGACTGGCTGCTGAGTGGGCAGGCCGGGCAGGGTTGGGCCGCCTGGCTGGGGGCCATGGTGAGCAGCCGGCTGACAAGAGCGTGCTGGGAAGGTGTCTTCCAAGACTTACAAAGGTATCCGCAAGCTTCCTGGGCCCAGAAAGAGAATTTTGAGCCTGTCAATCTGTGTGTTTTGCCTATCCTAATTAAAACAGCTTCCTCCAAAACCTCATCTTTGTTGGCTCCTTACTGAGGATAAAATGTGTGGATTTCATTGTGCAGCCTGCAAGCACTCTGCGTGCATGGCTGCCACCTCCTCACTGCTGCAGGTGGTTGAGAGGAGCACAGTGAAAGCAAACAGTTATTCTTGGGCTGAGGGAGTGGGAGGCTCATACCAGACCAGGAGTGTGGGAAACTGAGTCACCAGGGCCCCGACAGGGAGAGTGCGCTTGTCACCCACACCAGGGAGCTCTTGTCAAAGCTGTCTCTAAGGAAGCCAGAGTCCACATGGCCCCCTGCTTGAGCAACCTGAGTCCTGGTGTTTCTTTCCTCTTCCTGGAAATTGTGCAACAGGTATCCCTGGGGGCACTCAGTTCTTTTTTTGAAGCAGCAAGTGTCTGAATGGGGTCCCACAAATTTCTCCCACTCTCCAGTTTTTTAAAATTCTACCTCAAGACCTCCAAAACGCTGTCATGTCTTCACTTACCAGTCCACTTAGGAAAGGTCTCTATTCTTCTGCTCACATCATCCTTGGTGCTCATATTTGCATGGATTCTGCCTTCTTGGGATTTTAACAGTCACCGCCCATGTCGTGTTAAGCCCACAATGTCCACCTCCTAGTAGGCTTTCAGCGAGCATTTGTGTAACTGACTTCCCTCTTAGGAAGAGGTGGGAGTCTCCATGCAGAGACATTTCTGTATTGCAGACACCACACATGTGAACATCCCTGGCTCAGGCAGTGGGTTTTCCACGGTCCGGCTTCTGAAGCATAATGATGTGTAGGTTAGTATACAGTGTGAGTTTTCTACTTCTGCACTAAAAACAAGACCTGCATTTCTCATGTAATATCTCTGCTTAAGCAACAACCTGATTGCAAATTCGATGTCGCTGTACCTTTCCATGGTGTTTCATAAAATAATTTAGAACAGAATGAACATGCTCAAAGCCCTAAGTTGTAGACAGATTTGGAGAGCTGGAATTGACATGTTAGCTTCCCTAAGCTTCAGTTTCCTTTCCTCTTAAAGGATGGGTTGCAGTGATCTCTAAAAATTACTATAGTTTGAAGCTACTTAGTCATTGTCTTCACATGAAAGCACTTAGTGGAAATTCCCCATTTTGCTGATGAA